CCTACAGCCTCCTCTCAGGCAGTTGTAGAGGGCGATCAGGTCTCCCCTCAGCCTCCTCTTCTCCAGACTAAACACCCCCAGTTCCCTCAGCCGCTCCTCATATGACTTGTGTTCCAGCCCCCTCCCCAGCTTGGTTGCTCTCCTCTGGACATGTTCCAGCAACGCAACATCTTTCTTGTAGTGAGGGGCCTGCATGGTGGTTTTCACTGCTATAATGAGATGTAATTTCTAATAAAGTTTATATTATCTGAGGCTCTACCAACCAACTTTAAAAATATTAAGTATAGTAAGGTTAATTTAGTCCCTTTGAATTCTACCGATAAATGCTCAGCAGCTTGAACAGGACAAGGCTTTAGTCTCTATGGCCCCAAGTCATAAATTCCTAAAGTCACCTTAGCGCTACAGAGATAGCCAAAAAAAAAAAAAATAAATTTTAAAAAGTGAAGTCTTGGAGCCATCCCCATCACTTGCAGGACCCAATGCTTTCTTCAATGGGTGGGAACTGCTGGGCAGGCGGGGCTGGGTCCAGCACACTTACTGAGCTGACAGCGCGGCAGCGGGGGGTCCCAGAGGCCGTTTTTGTCGCATGTGGAGGTGTCGCTGCCGTTGATGGTGTAGCGGAAGTTGCAGTCGAACACGACGGTGTCTCTGTAGGTGTACTCGACCCGGTACCCGCTCAGCAGCTTCCCGTTCTCCACGCTCGGATGCTCGCAGTTAACCATTGCTGCAGGGAAACGCCGTCACTTAGGGAACTGGCAGTTATGCTCAGGAGGGGAGGTTAGGGTATCAAAAACATTCTCGTAACATAAGATGTCTTCACCCAAAAAGACTGAAAGTGGACACGACAGGGTAGCAGGCTGATGTGATATTTTCGTACACCTTGATTTTACAGCATTTTTGTTATTTCACGCTTGTATTAAGGCAAAGCATAAAAAGAACTTAGGGGAGGCAGCAGGTATCACCGCAGGTTTCCGAATCCTTTGCAAACATTATGTTTTACAGAGGCAAGATGCATCGTCTGGCCTGCAAACACCAATAAAATCCCACTCCCGTGTCCCTGCTGTCCTGGTGACCACGAGCAGTCACGGTCCCTGCGAGGGGAGACCCAAAATCCCGTTGCTGCTACCAAACTCAAAGGGTCTCATCTGCAAGAGGCGATTGCAGCAACGTAAAGGAGAGAGAGGGCTCGGGGGGAGAAAACAGCTTCAGCAGTGCAGGCAGGAGGCAGCGGGGAAGGGATCGCGGCTGGGGCTGATCCGGCGCCCCGGGCAGCTCGGAGCGTGCGCGGGAGCACAGCTCACCTTTGCACTCCGGGGGCGGCTGGTTCCAGACACCGTTTACGTTATCAGTGGTTGTACAGAAAATAGAGGCATCTCCCACCAGCAAGAAAGGTCTCTTGTTCCTCCTGGCGGTGTGGCACCGGTAAGTGACAGATTCCCCGTATTCAAAGAGTTCTTTGTTCACTCCGCTGTGCACCCCGTTAGCTATTGCTGGAGGGGGCAGACATGGTATTGCTGGGGAAGGAGGGGGGGGGAAACGGTGGAAGGAGGGAAGAACAAGAGAGAAAGAACGTAATTCATTTTGAACCAAAGGTCTGGTAAGAAAAAAAATGGAAACATGAGGGTCAGAAATCAAGGGCAGGTCTCAAGGCAGTTGGACACCAGCCCACAGGCAGCAGAGCTCTGCCCCGGGGGCCGAGTGGTTTCGGGATGTACCAATCTTACATACAGCTGCCTTACTCCCAGACAGGGAATAATTTTTTTTTGCAGGATGATGCAAGAAGAAAAAACCAAGAAAAAAACCCAAAAACGTCCTTCCAGACTCCACCGTGTATCAAACTGCTGAAACCCTTAGCAGGGCAACGCAACTGCCTCTTTATCCATCCGCAGTAATGCTGAAGCAGTAGATTAATTAAGGAATTCTACTTACGCTCACAGTAGGGAATATCTCTGTCCCACATAACAACCCCGTTTTTAATCACACACCGAATTTGAGGACTTCCAACCAGCCTGTACCTGTGTGAAACAGGGGAGAGGGAATTACTTGACAAACTCAGTTTTGTTGTATTACCTATAACAGCACCATCAGGATGGTTTGGGCTTCCTTATCGTAATTACAGCTGATCAGAAATTTGCCCTCAATGTCATTTTTTTCAATGACATGCTGACTTTTGACAAAAGCATTTTTAAAATGAAGAAAAACTACACGGTTTCTAAAGAAAAATGCCTACTTTATCAGCCAGCTGTAGCTATTGCTACAGCTCTGAGTTTGATATCGAGGCCTTTTCTTCAAAAAGACACAGAAATGTTGGAAATGCTTTAGAAAGGGCGAGGAGAGTGAATTTGAGATTGGGAAGAACCATCTCAAAGTACAAGATTAAGAAAACTCATTCAGTCGTAAAGCTCTCAAAGGAAAGCTTAAAAGAGATTTCCATCTCGTTTGCAGTTACCTACTTGAGTAAGGCTTTTGACAGCCCAGGCTTTGATCTAGAGGGAAAAGCCTTCAGAAAAATCACTGGGGGAGGAGAGGGGCCGTGCCCTGAGTCCTCCTGGCTTACCCGGTGTTGCAGGTGAAGCTTACTGCTGAC